TCTTCTTCTTCTTCTTCTTCTTCTTCTTCTTCGTCTTCTTCTTCTTCGAGATCTTGGCTGGGCTGCTTTTATCCTCTGGTTGAACTCGTCTGCATCTCGGACTCGGTGCACTGGTATCTGGTAAATGTCGGCAGGAGGAACCTTCGTCAAATTCTCGAGGATGATGACGATGATGATGATGATAATGATGATAATGATGATGATGATGATGAGCGTCCGGATTGAGCTACGGTGTGTTGGTAGTGTAGAATGTACCATTAGATTATGGATGTTGGGGAGTTGAATCTTGAGGATAAAATATACCCTGAGGTACTTCGCCCCTGTATGAGCTTGGCATCATGCTTCTTTTTTAACCTTTCCGGATAAATTATCGTAATGACTTGGAACGGAAGCACTGCCTCGGGCCAGCCAACCTTGTTTCGTGTCTTTTGTTGTTTGTTATTTATTATTCCTCGTTGTTATTGTTATTATTGTAAGCATACGTCACTTGAAGTTTGATATTTGTTTATTGATGGTCTATTAACGCGGAAGATTTATGAGGTTAAGACGTAAGTCGTAAAATTGCACTGTACTTTCTTAAATATTGACATTTTTAAAGATATAAGCTCATCCTGATGCTACACTCATCAAGAGCTTTCATTTGAGTACTTACATGCATTTTCATATATTTTTCATATATACATATATATAATATATATAAATATATGAAAAATTGATGTGGGTACTCAAATGAAAGGTCTTGATGAGTGTAACATCGGGGTGAGCTCATATCTTTAAAAATGTCAATAGTTCACAAGATACAAGATACAATTCAATAAAGAAATTTACTACTTCATTGTACTTATATACATGAGACTATAAAATTTGTTTTTTTAGTATACTATAGGGATTAAATAAAAAATAAATTGTATCGTAGGCAAATGATGATACTAAATACTTCAAAATTTAACAATAATGATTATAAATGAATTTTTGTTTAATTTATAAAAATTCAAGCCAATAAGCTTAGATGCGGGATACAAAGATTTATCCCAGCTTTCTGATTTAAAATTGTTTGTTATTTCGGTACCTCAGCAAATTGCTTGCACTTATAAACTATATATATACGTCTTGTAATTTCAGTGGTTCTTCGGTCTTCCGACAAAATGTTATATCTGGTAATTATTATACCAGTGACGAATTAATAGCTGTTATTTTACAGCATCAAAAGACTGGTTCTACGAATAGACGTATATAAAAGTTCCAACTCAAGTTAGATCATGTCCTAGAATACTGCCCAGGCCTATTCTAATTGTCAAGCGTCCTGTATCTTTTCCACTTCCTACTGTAATTCATTTCCGCTTTTAACTTTAGGTTTTATTATATCCTTTTCACCAATTTTAACTTTCTTAAAAATAAATTTACCTAAAAAAACGGCAATAATATTTTTTATTTTAATTAAAAAGTATCCAAATTATGTATATTGTGATCAAAAATTACTTAGCAAAATATATGAGAGAATTTTCTTCGTTTAAAATCATCAGATAAAAAGAAAAACCAAAATTTTATTCAATTAAAATGATGATTTATCACTTTTATCATGATCATAATCATAATAATGAAGATTGAATAGGTTTATTTACAAATAAATCTCCAATTACTATCACCGTTTGATTACATATCAGATTACATTTAAAAATTTTTTATTTACATAAAAATCAGATGTTCTGATCGGGAATCGTTAGATGATGAAGCTATAATGTCAATCAGGAAGATAATTTTTAACTTCAATCCTGTTGGATGCCAGTCAATATAATATATTATGAATTACAAGTAAGCTGGTGTAGGACCGCTCTTCCGTGGTGCAGTACACGACCACACGCACACTAAACAGGAACTTTTCTTCTATCCGTTCTTATACCAGCGAAGACATCAACAAGAAGAAGTATGACTCAGCCTCAATCTTCAATTTCAATTCCAACTAAACTGATACTTGTAATCTCCTCGTATCATACATTCCTACATTTCATACATATTTTATACCCATCTTGTATCACATGTTTTCTCTTTACCGCTTATAGGTATATAATACTTATACTTATACGTCACTCTTGTCCACTTGTTCGTTCCCCCGATTACGTCATATTCAAATACGAGGAGTATATATATTCGTACGCACATATAAATATAGTAACAAAAACACGAGTCGAGTGTGTAGACTGTAGAGAATTTGGACACGTATGGCTAGTCAAAACATTGCTCAAGGTCATCATGTATGACCAATAAAGTTAAACATACTTGGCATACACTAATAGAATTTTATCGTCGACTGGTCTGAAAAAATTGCGTTTAGTATTTTTATTAAAAAATTTTAATGAGTCAATAAAATGAATTTTTAGTTCAGTTTTTGCAATAATTTATATTTAAAAGATGATTAACTTTTTTAGATAGGACCTACTACTATTTTTTTAATTTTTAATTTAATCTCTGAATATTTAGAAACTGATTTATTATTTCTTTTAATAATCACTAAATAATTCATGAAGTTTTTTCGCGAGAGTTTAAATTATTGACAGTAAATGATGCGAAGTACTTTTTTAATTTTATTAAATTATTGACTTACTCTTTGAAAATTATTCAAATTAAAAATCGTAAATTTATTTTTTAAGCACCTCCCTAACAATAAATTTTAAATCAAATATTCTAATCTTTATTTAATTGTTTGAACTTTATTTTTAATCACACAAATGCTTTACAGTTTGCTAAAAAAAAATAATCAATGCAATTAAGAGTAAAATCTTGATATCTTGAAATGTATCAGAAGAAAATCAGGATCAATTAATAAAATAATAAATTAATTACCGATATTGAGCAATAAATTTCCAAATAAAAAAAAATAAATATCGCAAACACATTTATTGAATATTATCCGCGTATGAATGATCACCCGCGGCGATAACATCGTTTGAAATGGTAATTAATCGTTGGTGAAACCAGCAGTTGCGTTTATTAAGACAGAATTAATTAAGCATGCGTGTGACGTACGAGCACGTAAATACGAAAACTTGACTGTCTCGTCTCAACTTTCAGGTTATGTTCTGTATTACGTGTTATGTCGCGTGTGTCTAAAGGTTGCTTGCACTCAGTTGCACTGTACATTTCTCGCCACTGATCCGTGAAAAAATTTTCTGATTCTAATTTTTTTTTCATCTACAGCTATTAGGCTATATAAAAAAATAAAAAACAATTTTTATTATCTGTTTGTCAATCAATAGATCGTACTTGACAAAAATGAATTCTGTTGATAATTAATCTAAAAATTAATGTCAAATAAGCTCCTTAGCATAGTCAAAAAAAAAATTATTTTATTACTTATATTTAAAAATTAACTCTCTAGTAAGGAGACAATTTATCGACTGTGCGCCATCTATTGGAAAATTTTTATACTAACTTTATTATTGCCCTAATCAGGTCTAAATTCTTCTATAATTAATTTGAATCAGAATTAACTATTTTCATGTCTAATTAAAAATACAAATATCAAAAAAAAATTATAATAATTACCTTGAAAGTTTACAATATAACATCGTATGTTAAAATAAATAAAATAAATGATTTAAATTAATTACACTAACTTTGGTTAAAAAATTACGTATAGGCATATATAATCATTTTATAACAAAAAATTATATATGGATATATTAGAATATATTAGAGAATATTTTTAAGGGAAATCATGTGTGTCCAATTTATAGGATCAATTTACAATTATATCATGTATCATGTATCATGTATCATGTATCTCGTTCACGTTCTAACGCGATTTGTCGATTATCATTAACCCTTAATATAATAAATGTAATAAATATAATAAGACAAATTGATGGATATCTAAGCTGGTGAGTAATGGCGCTCGACACTCGTCGGTAAGATCAAACGCTACATAATCGATGGTAGAATAAATCCAAGTTACGGCTCTTTAATTAAAGACCAAGATTGAAGGTTAAGATTTTAATTGAAGATATAATTACTAAGCTGAGCAACAGGAAGATTAAATCCACCTACAATTTCCCTACGCCAGTGGCCTACATGTTCACCGGGTCATTGGGTTAAGATTGAGAGCGCACGACCTTTACTTAGCATGCCACCGGTTCTTATATTCTTAAGTCCTATCAAACTAAATAAAACCTCTACTCTCTACCGCTTTTGTATGTGTGTGTTTGTACATGGTATGGGTTTATCAAGTAGTGTAACCAAACCGTTTGATACTTTACTTGCATACATGCATACATATTACAACTTATAACGAGCGGTTGCAAATCATGGGAAGCTAAGAATGCCTAACGTATGCTGCAAAGACGTTGAGAGTTTTTCACAATGCATCATGTTGATAGTCATGCGATTTACTCCATCTTGGTTTATAGGATACGCTTGTTGAATTTATTTCGTTTTGTTAAAGGATATTTTTATTTGTAAGAGGAAAGTTATTGTTTGCCGGTTTCATTGTAAATCAATCATTGAAGTCATTGTTACTATCCCTGTCAATCTTTTAATTTAAGAAAATTCTATTACATTGCAGCTTTTTATAAATTTGACATTTATAGCATATTCAAATTTATGATTAATTTTTAAAATTAATTAAAAAATAAGCACTAATTCTGCATTATTACATTTTTATATGCTTTTTTTTAACTATTATATAATTTAGCCCATAAATAATTTTTCTACTAAATGAAGTTCTAAAAATCTCCGCCAGAGGGCAAATGATAGCTGATTCTTCTCCTTACCAGAGAGTTCAGTTTAAAACTATAAGTTTTAAAATCAAAATTATTTTTTTAAATCTCTTTAGCTTATTTAAAATTTCTAGAAATAAATATTTTTAAAAAATCGGCAATACATTTTAAATAAATTCAATAGAAGAAAAAAGAACAAGTATTGAAAAGTAAATATTAATTCTTACGTGTCGTGTTTTATAATTTTTCACCACTACTCGGACACATTGCAAATAAGCATAATGAGTCATGGTACATGTAATGGGTAATATTATTTATATTCCAATTAAATCATGAATGGTAGTGTTAAATATTTAGCATCAACAGTATGCTAAAATAAATGATAAAATACATAATATATTTCCGTATTACATGCTTGTAACAATAATTTGCATTGAATTTTAATAGACGGCACTAACCACCGTAAATCTTGTCAATAGGTTACTAATAAAAATAATAATAATAATAATACACATAAATATAAATAACCACTCAGGCGTTTATATTAATGATAATAAAATAACTTTAACACAAATAATCTGTATCAGATTTCTCGATATTATGAGGAATATCTCTTGGCAAAAACAATATCAATAAAAATGATGATAATAAAAAAATAACGCTACATGATTTAAAGGAGCAGAGGGAAGAAAGATCGGTATATTCCTCCTATACATCTACACAATCTCCTTACCTGTAGAAATGATCGTTCAACTAACGGTACTAAATCTGCATACCAACTTTACTCTGTCGTATTATACAGTACATAGTATACAGTATTCCCATGGGATGTTTGTACGCGTTTTTATATTTGCTAGCAACCTTGCGGTCACTATGTGACTGCCGTGACTTGTGAACTATAAATAAAATTGTGCTTTATTAAATAATGAATTTTGTTAAAGTGCACTGTACTTTCTTAAATGTTGACGTTTTTACAGATATAAGCTCATCCCGATGTTACACTCATCAAGAGCTTTCATTTAAATACCCACATGCATTTTTGATATATTTTTCATATATAAATATATATAATATATATAAAATATATGAAAAATTTATGTGGGTACTCAAATGAAAGGTCTTGATGAATGTAACATCAAGATGAGCTTATATCTTTAAAAATGTTAATGGTTCACAAGATACAAGGTCATCTCTTAATTATTGATATTTTTAAAGATGTAAGCTCATCCCGATGTTCCACTCATCAAGAGCTTTCATTTGAGTACCTACATGATATTTTTCATATATTTTATATATATGGTATTTGTAAAATATATAAATATATAAAATATATGAAAAATTTATGTGGGTACTCAAATGAAAGGTCTTGATGAGTGTAACATCAAGATGACCTTATATCTTTAAAAATGTCAATGGTTCACGAGATACAAGGTCATTTCTCAATTATTGATATTTTTAAAAATGTAAGCTCATTCCGGTGTTACACTCATCAAGAGCTTTCATTTGAGTATCTACCTGCATTTTGATATATTTTTCATATATAAATATAGGGATAATATCGCTTTGCGCTTGGTATGCGAAAAATTACAGGGAAAAAGAATGAAACAGGCATAATATCAAAGTGGTGAGATTAATCAGCAACGGTACATACTGATGATCAAAATACCTCGAGATTAAATAAAGATTCAAGCACGTAGGTGAGTTTTCAATTTTGATCTGACACGCATTCGTAAATCGTTAAGTTAAGTCAAGTTGCAATACAAAATACAACTATAAAACTGCATAACTATACATTTTATATTTGTATATATCTATAGGGATTTCCTTACACGGGGAAAGAGGAATCGTGCAAACTCACACTCGTGTCCACCCGTCCATCAGCGCGTTCGTTAACTAACAAACGTATCTCTCCTCTCGTGCATATGCAATCCCAAAGACGAACAAGGCGGAGGTTCTTCTCAGCAGGAGTCTTTAATACGATCCAACCTCGAGAGCTCTCTCACCTTCTCCCGGAACCCTTTACATGCATATATGTGCATACAATATATATACTACCAGCAGGGTGCGCACTTTAGTAAACTGACATGTGAATTCCGCATGAAGTCTAACAGAAAATTGATCGACGGTTACTTTTTTTCAACTTTTTTCGCTATTAATTCTGATTTTTTAATTAAAAATTATAATTAATTAACTCTATCGATTGGGTGATAAATTTGATTAGTACTATCTTTATTCTAATTGTCTAAGAAAATAAGGAAAATTTTTTCCCTGGCATATTATCGCTAAAATTTGATTTCCTGTAGTGAGATAAATAAAAAAAAAAATCTCAATGTACTTGTTATATCAAAGTTTAAATATACAACAAATTTTTTGATGATAACTTTAATAATATTTTTAATTTTTTAACTTGGAAAAAAATTTTCCTATGCAAAGTCGTATTAGAAAAAGAAGATAGAGATAATTTTTGAAAGTTTTTTATTAATTATTATGTAAAAGTCTATACTTTTAATTATGCAAAATATTCAATATATTATTTCTTTTCATCACCTAAATTTTTATTGAAATCTGAACGTCACTTTTTCTAAAATAAAACAAATCTGTCATTTCTCATAAGACAATGTTTAACTTTAAAAGCTCAATATTTTTTTACTATGGTTCTGTTGAGCTTTTCAAAACTTAACTGGGTTTATCTTATTACGATAATTTATTATAATTGATTTGTAAGCGATAATAGAGGCATGTAAGAAAAAAAAATAACAACAACATATGAATTTTGTGTTTCAGCGGTCCAAAGAGGAAGAGTCCCTCCGTCGCAGCCGTCTTTGCCAGGTTTGCCAGGTCAATTTGCGCTGTCGAACGGGGACGCGGTGGCCTGTGCCAGCCTGAACGGACACTCGTATCTCTCGTCGTACATCAGCCTCCTCCTGAGAGCGGAGCCTTACCCGACGTCGCGATACGGCCAGTGCATGCAACCCAACAACATAATGGGGATCGACAATATATGTGAATTAGCCGCGAGATTACTGTTCTCCGCGGTGGAATGGGCGCGAAATATTCCCTTTTTTCCCGATCTCCAAGTCACCGACCAGGTGGCGCTCCTCAGGCTAGTGTGGAGTGAATTATTCGTACTGAACGCGAGCCAGTGCTCGATGCCGCTTCACGTGGCACCCCTGTTGGCGGCGGCGGGCCTCCACGCGTCACCAATGGCCGCGGACCGCGTCGTCGCGTTCATGGATCACATTAGGATTTTTCAAGAGCAGGTGGAGAAACTCAAGGCGCTTCATGTGGATTCTGCTGAGTACAGTTGTCTCAAGGCGATCGTCCTCTTTACAACTGGTGAGTCATCATTCATTTTATATTGTTGTTTTTTTTTTTTTTTTTTTTTTTTTTTTTTTTAATATAATCTACTTTGCATACGATAGTAGAAAAATTTGAGTAATGGACAACAACTGGTTGTATTATTTGATTTTTTTAAATAATTTCAAGTTGTTAAAAAAAAATCTAATAAAAATTATTAAAAGACAACAACAAATATTTAATAATATTAGGTACTAAATAATTTATTAATGCCCATTTAGTTCCACCAAATAAATATTTAGTATAGTATTTACCAAATGATTTATTGCTACTCAATAAATCGTTTATTGGTATCAAAGAAATTAATTTTTTAACTAATTTTAGCGTGTAACCTAATTTTTTAACTTAAAATAAATCAAAATAATTTTAAGTAAAAATATAAGGTATTATAAAGAAAAGAATCTCATTAAATAATATTTTTTTGTTTGAGACATTTATAAAATTTAAAATTAAGTTTTTAACATATATCAATAATAGACAAATTGAAAAATGTAAACTAAACTCCACTTAGAAAAGACATAAATAGAAGCCATTTATTGGGAATATGTGTGTTTTCAAAGGGAAGATAAATCTTCCAAAATCGAGCTGAATAAAATAATTTGAGTCAGTGAATAGGTTATGTATCACATAAACATTGGAATTAAAGCATAGCCGTCTACCGACAATATTTACTAAAGAAATTTTAGTACCTGTTACTAAATATTTATTTCCATGTAATAAGGCTTTGTTCATATAATGAAATCATTTATTAAACTGTAAAAAATAATATTGATGGATACAAATAAATGAATAAAAATTTTGTTACTAAATAAGTTAAGTACTCCGTACTAAATCCTTCTATCAGTGTAGTACAACTGAATCTTATCAACATGATAATAATAAAATCACATGTAACTAAGCAGTAGACTGAAACACGTGAACGCGAAAAAGATAAATGATTTTTCGTCCAGGCTCCTAGTATATCAACAAATCTATCATTATTCATGAGAATATTAAGTACTGCCTTGTCGTGCCTTGCCCACTTATTCATTTTTTTCCTCAAATAAAAAACAACAAAATCTATTACTACGGTTGCAAAATGCATGTCCTACTATTAATACACCCGTTAGTGCTACCACATCATTAGATCGCCGATAAAATGTTTAAACTATCAACAAATGAATAAAACCCGTAGGTTGATTGTTTATTTATATTTACATTTGTGTAGACTACATTTGTGTTTTTTCAAAGGGGTATGGGAATAATAGCGACAGAGGAGAAGAGGAAGGGGAGGGGTTATTCCAGATGAGGGTAAGAGGTAGATTGCTTCGGAGAGATAGCCTTGGAAGCTGTTATATTACATATGGAATGGAATATAACTAAGCGAGAAGGAAAGGAATGGAGAAAGACGTGTGGAGTTAGTGGCGGAGTAGAGGACTAGGGACTAGCCTTAGCGATGTAAAATGTTGCGGAGAGGCAATGTTAGTGGATAGTGGACAGGACGCAACTGTCATCGGACGTGGACAGTAGAGGGAGATGGATAGATGGATAGATAGATAGATAGATAGAGGGTGAAGGCATTGTCTGTGGACATCTAACACGGGAACCGAATCACATTGTATTGTTGTCGTGTGCTACAGCATTTCCATAGTCCATAGTCCATAGTCCAGGGGCTCAGTATAGTCGCTAGTACTCCTTGACACGTTACACGATGCACGACATCCAACACTCAACTCAACGCTGCTCTATATCTATTCTAGAATTCCCTATCTGAGAATAGTTCCAGTCGGGCTCTGTTACATTTAATTCAATACCGAGGATCCTCATTCAAGGCATAGGTGTATCTGTTTAACAGTCCCATCAGCATTACGCCGGTAATCTTCCTGTGTTGTTTCACATTCTAGCCGACAAGAGTTCGAGGTGTCTAATAGTCATTTGCCGATATATATATCGTCAGGGTAAATTGTTTAGCGGGAGCTAAGTGCTGGTATTGTCGCAGACTAGCTTACTGAAATTTATCTTTATCCTGTACACTGATAGAAGGATTTGTTTATAGTTAAAAATATTTGTTATTTAACAAATCATTTATTAGAGGCCACTTATTAGTCCTTAACAAATATTTCTTATTTTTAAAAATTTATTAATATTTAATAAATTAATATCAGATTTATTAAATCCAAACAAATCTGGTTATTCTAATGTAAAGCTTGATCTGATCATATATTTTTGAAAATATTCATTATTTATCCATAAAATGCCTTTTAAGATTTCATTTATTGCACAAGTATGAAAAAAAAAAAAACTTCCGTTTGTCCAATAGAAAGAGAAAATAAATAAAAATTAACGAAATCAAATTTCATAACTTATTTGATTCAATATCATTGAAAATAATCAGCCTAGTCACTGTGACAATTCTCATAACAACAATTCTTAAAGAAAAAAAATCTGGACAGTGAATTTAAAAAGCACTCTCATCTATGAGCATAAAATGAACTACAAGATGAACACCGATGACATTGTACTTTATTATTTATGATATTATATCACAGCTATTGATGTCCAAGGACAAAGAGTGTATAGAAATAAAATTACGGACGTTAATAATTATTGATTATCGAAACTCATCGGGATCAAAAAATAAAACAACCGACTTGGACTTGGTGTTCGAAGATACATCTCACGATTAATCGTCAATTTAAAATAATCTGTTACAAGTTATAACTTAGATGAATTGAGGCCCCGTTAACCATAGTCTATACTACGAGTACTGGTAATCATTACAATCACTAACTACTTCTAAATCTAGTACATCTACATCTGATTTTCGTGATCTTATATTAAGGAAGTTTTCTATATCTGTTCCATTAAATCTTCCTACCTGATATATTAACGTTTATAGGCATTATCTGTCTATATGTACATTGTACCAGGTATTTAACGTAAACTTTGCTAATACTTCACGTACATATGTATATATTGCTTACCCATAAAGTACCAAGAATATTCTACTGCATATCCGAGAGAAAGCCGACTCTAAATGAGATTTGAATCTACTTTACGTCTCAAAACTCTGTTTTAAATCTTTAACGTCTTTCGTGGTGATATTTCTTGTTATCGAAAATCAGAGAATATTACTATGTTTATTTTAATGGATAAAAAACTAATTTTTTCTTTTTTAATTTATACTCTAAAGTTGGAAAAAAAGCTTAACATTTTCGGATTTAAAGCTTTAAAAACGCCTATTTCTTAATTAGAGGTTTTTTTAATTAAAAGTCTGGCAAAATTTGAATTTAAAAAAAATTGGATCTTTATTTTCATTCAGAAATAAGTGAAAAATAAATTTCTTAGCTAAAAGGCTTCAGAATATTATTTTTTTTAACAATTAAAAATATCGGAAAATATACCCAAGACTGGATTCGAACCCTAATCCGACCGCTTTGCTCAGAAAAAGTGCTACCACTTCGCTAACACAGCATTAACGAATTCCTTTTATGTCTATTAATTTTTTATTACATTATTTGACAGTTTTTAGTCAAAATTTTCAAATATCAAGACAATAATTTAATCAAAATATTTGTCGTTTTTTTTTTTGATATTATTTTTTTCCGTGTATGAAACTTTTAATTAAATTCAAAAAAATTCACTCAACAAGACAGACAAACTATTGATACTTGACGCGAGGCACTACCACGTCTTCGGATAATATGTTATTATCGTATCGTATATGATTGTTGTCACAATGGAAATGTCAAAGAGGTCACGGTAAAAATTTGAATACTTGCTCGTAAACAGACATAAATATACCGATTTATATAAAAATAAAATATTGTGTGCCACTCACAGGCAAAAAATATAACAATAATATTAATAAAATACTATGCAGGCATTTAATCGAAATTTTATGTTTTATGTTTAAAAAAATAGTGACTTCTAAAACAAGACCTTGATTTACGGAAGGGTTAAAGCTTTCTTCACGCATATGAACAAGTTATTTACACATGAACACGTAGTAAAACGTCGCACTAAAATCGGAACATTAATTAGACAGAGTTAAAATTATTTAGATGATCATAAATTAGCGAGCTCGTTCGATCCCATATGCATATATATTTCTCCAAGAATTCGCACTTTGCACCCTCTTGTCTGGCCTAAATAAACAACCACCCATTAGTCTTCCGAATAGTGTTTAACCCGAAATTCCTTCAGCACTTTAATTTCTCATCCTAGAAAAAAATATTTTATTTTTTATATTAATATTCCTTTTGGTATCAATTGCACATAAGACTGTGTCGAATACTTAAGGGTTTTGAGGAGCATAAAAAAATATTCACAATTTGTTACGGTTCGGGTCGGTGTGTAGTGTCACATGTGACTCGGGATTCTCGGGAAAAATAATTCACGACGGTCGTGTGGCAATGTCGCATCTCCCATCGTATTATATCGGTATGACAGAATAAAAAACTGAGAAAGATGTTGAAAAAAAAGAGCCGAGTAAGAGCTAAGCATCAGCAAGAAAATATACGCATATATATCTGTCGGTGTCTAGTTATAGTGGTGATTCTTGTCTCTCACTCTTTTATATTTAAGTCGCTTCTATATATATCAAATAAAACAACCGAAATATTTGCGAGTGTACGTGACAGATTCTAGGCCTTTTATTTAACTTTCCCTTTACTATTATTCTGCTAAGCATTTTATGGCTCTGAAGATCATGACTTTACGGTAAAAAAATAAAATTACTTGATTCTAGAAGAATACTCTTTTAAAAATTTTATTCTTGGTTTTAAATAGTGAGTTCAGGTTAATTCAAAAAATTCACGAATCAAATCATGAAAATAAAGAGAAAAATTTTTCTATTCAAGAATTCAATAGAGCAAATGTACTATATTAAAAATTTGAATTTTGACTAAAATGCTCTATCTCTAGATACATAATTAAGAAATGACCTTGTAACTCGTGAACTATTCATATTTTTAAAGATATAAGCTCATCCCGATGTTACACTCATCAAAACCTTTCATTCGAATACCCACATCAATTTTTCATATATTTTATATATTTATATATATATGTATTTATAAAAAATATATCAAAAATGCATGTAGGTACTCAAATGAAAGCTCTTGAAGAGTGTAACCTCGGGATGAGCTTATATCTTAAAAAACGTCAATATTTAAGAAAGTACAGTGCAATTTAACAACAGTCATTATTTAGTAAAGCAAAATTTTATCTCGAAAGTTTGTTTAATAAAGGAAAATATCAAATTTTAAAACATTAAAAAGATTTTTTATTTAAAAATTATTCTATTATGTGCATAATGAGTGCTAACAGAATCATATGCATATTTTAAGAGCTTAGAAGAGCAATGCTAAAAAAGATGGACTGGACTCGCGGTTGAAATGCTTGTCGACGCCACTGGTACAGAATGTGGAGTGTAGAGTAGGGCTACGAGGGTGGCAGCCCGTGACAAGAGTGTAGGGATCGAGGTTGGTCTCAGTTATCTGCAAACCCGACCACCGACTCTCGACTTTTGCCCATGGTACTCGGCTATACACCCGACCCTTCTCGATTGCGCCCTCTCTTTCTCCCTTGTAATACTTTGCTAGTTCGCGGTCTCTTTCGTACGTGCGGGACTAGTATTAGTGGTTCGAAACCACAACCCCTCGTGCTCGGTGGCATTTGCGGGCAGCTAACTCCTATTGCTCTATCTCGTATTGTTAGTCTACTGTAGGGCTCAAAATCGCGTGCGTCCACCCTCGCGGAATATTTTTTTATTATTTCAATGCTTTGCTTTAATCCACGTGGTCGAGTTGTTTATTATTTTTTATTATTTATAGATTATAAATAAAGTTTTTTATGAAAAATGATAATTTATAATTTTTATATGACTTTATATATTTTGGCAAATGTAATAATAATAATAATAATAATAATAATTAAAAGAAAACTAGGATTATATTTGCAAGTTATTTTTTATTAAAATGAATTTAGGAATACTTTAACATTAATTTTGAGGTTAAAAAAATTTTTTTTCAAAAAAAAGAAAAATTTTCTTAAAAAGTACATTAAATTCTGAAAAAAATGATATATGCTACGAATTTTTTGATAAAAATAAAGATTACTAATAATTAAAAAAAGAATGAAACATATATTGATCTAAAAATGAAAATTCCAAATTAAAAACAGAAAAAAATAAATTAAAATTAAAAAGAAACTTAATTTTTTATATACTTAAAAAATTTTAATCCATCTCAATAAATACTATATATGTTATATAAATTGGAACGAATATATAGTACGGATAAAACTGTAGCTAGGGTAGAAAATGTTGGCATGCAGCTGTGGGCGGAATTGCTGAGATTGAACTATCGACTTACGAGTAGATTGGTCGAGATACCCCAGTACCAACAAGGCGATCGGAAACTGAGGACATATCTTACC